TATGGTTGGACTCGTGGTGGAATGGGCTTCTAGATTTTGTGACTTTTATTGGATTCTGAGACGTGAGCCCGAGGGTCGGCTTTGAGTTGACTTTTTGACTTTTGATTAAGAATTTAGTATTTTCTTATGGAATTGATTCCTATAGCTTGAGTTGATCGTATCGAATTGTTTGTGGCTAGATTCGAGGTGTTCGGAGGTCGATTCGAGGTAAGAACTTGTTGGAGTAGAGTTTTGTACAGTTTGAGGTAAGTAACACTTCTAAACTTGGTTCTGAAAGTATGAAACCCCGAATTTTATGTTATGTTCTTTGTGTTGAGTTGACGCACATGCTAGGTGACGGGCGCGCAGGCGTGCACTGTAAGAATTGTGACTTGGTCAATTCCATGAATCTGTATAGTTGAATAATCTTGTTGTTACCCGTATTTTCACCATGTGTTAGAACAATTGAGCTGTCAGTTATGTTAGAAATCCTGCTTAGGCTACGTGTTGGGACTCACAGAGGTCGTGTTACATGTTGAATTATTTGCTTAATTTTCCATTTTGTACTCAGTCACACCTATTATTTGCATATTATATCTCAGTCTCTGTTGTCCTTTATTGATACATCATATCATCATTATTTGGGTTGATTATCATGATTCTTGTGAGCCCGAGAGACTGGAGAGATTAATGATTGAGTGAGGTTGAGGATCTATTGTGATTGATATTCATGGGATCGGGCTGCACGACGCAACAGGCTTTATTGATTCATGCCGGGATTTGGCTTATTATAGCGTTTGGGATGGATCGGCCCCTCCAGAGTCTGCACATCCACAGTGGGCGTAGTTGCTAGCAATTTATTTACATTTGGGCTGGATCTGCCTTCATTTTATTTATATTTGGGCTGGATCTGCCATGGTTTTATTTGCATTTGGGCTGGATCTGCCCTGTTATGTGTTAACTTTTTATTGCAAAAACCTGAAAGGATGTCTAAATTCTTGTACCGTTACTTGCAGATTATGAATTTATGAGATATCACTATCATATTTTTCTGTAACCTTCCATACTGTTAATGTTGTATGTGGACTGTAATACTCGAACCCGTCACTGCTTTCAGTCCAAAGGTTAGATTTGTTACTTATTGAGTTGGTTGTACTCACGCTACACCCTGCACCTCAGGTGCAGGTCCAGGTGTTTCCGGTCACGGTGGTTGTTGATTAACAGAGTTCAGACATTTGGAGATCATCGAGGTAGCTGCTTGGGCGTCCGCATGCCTTGACTCTCCTCCCCTATCTTTCAGTTTATTTATTCAGTTATACTTTCTAGATAGTATACCAGACTATGTCCTTATGTAGATGCTCATGTACTCAGTGACACCCTAGTTTTGGGAAAACTTATGTATTGAGTTATGATATTCTATCCCGTTTTATGAGATTTTTTAATTATTTAAACTGTTTTAGTATATTTCAAAGTTGAAGGTGTTGGAAATGCCTGAGTAGTCGGCTTGCCTAGTACCATGATAGGCGCCATCACGAAATATTGGGTTTTGGGTCGTGACAAGTTGGTATCAGAGCCTAGGTTACATAGGTCTCACGAGTCATGAGCAAGTTTAGCAGAGTCGTGTGGATCGGTATGGAGATGTCTGTACTTATCTTCGAGAGGCTGCTGAACCCTTAGGAAAACTTCACATTCTTGTACTCTTGTCGTGCGAATTTGTTGATTCCAGGAACTAAACTTCTGTTATTCTATTCTCTCACAGATGGTGAGGGCACGTGCTACCGGGCCAGACGGACACCCACTAGTACCATCAGCTAGGGCCACGAGAGGCCGGGGTCGCAGTAGGGGTCGCGGTAGGGGCAGAGGTGTAGCTCGTACAACAGCTAGACAATCACCTGCAGATCCACTAGTTGCCCCAGCTCAGGAGCAGATTCTAGATGTGGTTGAGCCAGTGGGGCCAGTCCAGGCACCAGCTGTGCCCATTGTGATTGCAGGCCTTCAGGAGGCTTTGGCTCAAATATTGAATGTGTGTACTAGCCTTGCTCAGGCGGTTTCTGTTTAGACCGCGCCATCCACTTCTTAGGTAGGGGGAGGTACTCAGGCTCCCACCGCCCGTACTCCAGAGCAGGTGATGCAGGGACTTCAGACCCCGGGGGTACTACCAACCCAGTCGGTTACAGTTGCTCAGGCCTAGGTGGGTCCCGTTATGACTGATGATGAGCAGAGGAGACTAGAGAGATTTGGGAGGCTCTAGCCTCCATCATTTAGTGGGGCTGAGTCAGAGGATGCCCAGGACTTCTAGGCTAGGTGCCAGCGGATTCTTTGCACGACGGGTATTCTGGAGACCAGTGGGGTCTCATTCACTACTTTTCAATTTACTGGGGCTGCCTTCAGATGGTGGGAGGCCTATGAGAGGCGCAGACCAGTCGGTGCAGCACCACTTACATGGCATGAGTTCTCTATTCTCTTCTTGGAGAAGTTTGTGCCACAGACCGGTAGGGAGGAGCTGCACAGGTAGTTCGAGCAGCTACGTCAAGATGGCATGTCTGTGACCCAGTATTATATGAGGTTTTCAGAGTTGGCTTGTCACGTAGTTTGGTTGGTTCCCACTAAGAGGGAGAGGATTTAGAGGTTCATTGATGGCCTCTACTACCAGTACCGCTATGTTATGACTCGGGAGAGTGTATCAGGTGCTACGTTCGACGAGGTGGTCGATATTGCTCGGCGGCTGGAGATGGTTCGTAGTCAGGAGAGGGAGGCCAAGAGGCCTCGTGGTTCGGGTGGTTTCAGTGGTGTTCCTTCTGGGGGACAGTCCTACCACAACAGGGGTCATCCTTATAGGCCTGCTCAAATGGCTCGTCCAGCTCTTCGTGGTGCATCATCTAGCCATGGTTCGTACAATGCTAGACCGGGTCAGTCATCTCTCAGTGCTCTCCCAGCTCAGAGTTCATCTCGAGCCCCTTCAGTTCAGGGTTCATCTGCACCAAGTTCCTCTGGTAGTTATTCTGGTTCACAGGATTCGTCTTAGTATTTGCCACCATTTTTCGAGAGGGGATGTTTCGATTGTGGAGAGTTGGGTCATGTAAATAAGTTTTGTCCCCACCTTACGGGAGGTCTAGCTTAGCAGAGGAGTCAGGCCATGACTTCAGTACCAGTTGCTTCACCACCCGCTTTGCCAGCTCGGGGTAGGGCTCAGGCAGCTAGAGGTCACCCTAGAGGGGGAGGCCGATCAGGTGGCGGTCAGGCCCGATTCTATGCTATTCCTGCCAGACCAGATACCGTTGCTTCAGATACAGTGATCACATGTATTGTCTCAGTATGCCACAGTGATGCTTCTGTATTATTTGACACTGGTTCCACTTATTCGTATGTATCATCATATTTTGCTTGTTATCTGGATATGCCCCGTGAGTCCTTAGCTTTATCTGTTCATGTATCTATGCCAGTGGGCGATACTATTGTTGTGGATCGTGTATATCAGTCATGTGTAGTGACTATTGAGGGATTGGAGACTAGAGTCGATCTCGTATTGCTTAGTATGGTTGATTTCGACGTGATCTTGAGTATGGATTGGTTGTCCCCATGTCATGCTATTCTGGATTGTCATGCTAAGACCATGACATTGGTGATGCCGGGTTTGCCAAGGATCGAGTGGAGAGGTTCTCTAGACTATGTTCCCAACAAGGTGATTCATATTTGAAGGCCCAATGGATGGTTGGGAAGGGGTGTTTGTCTTATTTGGCCTTTGTGAGGGATGTTGGTGCTGATACTTCTACTATTAACTATGTTCTAGTGGTGTGAGACTTTCCGGATGTGTTTCCTGCAGAATTGCAGGGCATGCCGCCTAACATGGATATTGACTTTGGTATTGAATTGGTGCCGGGCACTCAGCCCATTTTTATTCCTCCGTATCGAATGGCACCAGATGAGTTACAGGGATTACAGGAATTAAAAGAACAGCTTTAGGAACTTCTTGATAAGGGGTTTATTAGGCCTAGTGTATTGCCTTGGGGTGCACCGGTTCTGTTTGTGAAGAAGAAGTATGGTACTATGCGAATGCGCATTGACTATAGGCAGTTGAACAAAGTTAAAATCAAGAACAAATATCCTTTGTTGCGTATTGATGACCTATTTGACCAGCTTCAAGGAGTGAGGGTGTTCTCTAAGATTGATTTGAGGTCTGGATATCACCAGTTGAAGATTCGGGACTCGGATATTCTAAAGACGGTATTCAGGACCCGTTATGGTCACTATGAGTTCCTTGTGATGTCTTTTGGGTTGATCAATGCCCCAGCTGCATTCATGCATCTAATGAACAATGTATTTCAGCCTTATCTCGACTCGTTTGTCATAGTATTCATTGATGATATCCTGGTCAACTCATGTAGCCAGGAGGAGCATGCCCAGCATTTGAGGATTGTACTACAGTGGCTGAGGGAGGAGAAGCTTTATGCCAAGTTCTCCAAGTGTGAGTTTTGGCTTAGTTCGGTGGTGTTCTTGGGGCATTTGGTGTCCAATGAGGGGATTAAGGTGGATCCAAAGAATATAGAGGCAGTTCAGAGTTGGCCCAGACCATCCTTACCTACGGAGATTCAGAGCTTTCTCGGCTTCGCCGGTTATTATCGTCGCTTCGTGGAGGGTTTCTTGTCTATTGCATCCCCTTTGACCAAATTGAACCAGAATGGTGCTCCTTTCAACTGGTCGGATGAGTGTGAGGAGAGCTTTCAGAAGCTCAAGACTGCCTTGACCACAACTCCAGTTCTAGTTTTGCCTTTAGCGTCAGGCTCTTATACAGTGTATTGTGATGCTTCTCGGATTGGTATTGGCTGTGTCTTGATGCAAGGGGTAGAGTGATTGCTTATGCTATGGGGATGGATAATGCATGCACCGCTTCCATCATCCACCATGATGCATTTGACATCGGTAACCATCGGCATTCGACTCGTCGAAGATGATACTTTCTTCGAGTCCGTCGTACCGTTCGCGAGTGATAGACTGCTTGAGTTTGTGAGTGGTGGTGAACTTTATGCCGTTGATAGAGGCTCGTCGCTGCCGCCAATGATTATGTTGATGGTACGAGCTGGCAATGGCGGCTTCGGCAAGCCTTGATGTTCACGTCCTCTGGCGAAGTTAGACCTCCCCTTATCGCTTAACAACTCTTTGAGGTGCCCTTGCCGTAACATGTTTACGACTTCCTGTTTAAGGGCGATGCAATCTTCTGTTTTGTGCCCGCATTCCTGGTGGAATTCACAGAGGGCGTCGAACTTTCTGGTGTTCGGATTTGATCTCATCTTTTGCAGACACTTCACTTTCATTCCGAGTTTCTCAAGAGCGTAGACTATTTCTGTAGGCGACACTCAAAAATTGTGAGCAGATAATAAATGAGGCATACCTCTTTCATTCGGATAAGTCCCTGTCCTTGGTCTGGACGAGCCTTCTTCATAGTGGAGGGAGGGTGTGACAGCCGCCCTGACATATGGTTGGTGCCGTTCCTTGTTAGGTTGCGGAATCGAATGATCTCTTCTAGTACTGTCTCTTCGTTCTTTTCTAGATTCGGCTTGTAGCGAGGTTATCCGGTGAGTTGCTCCGTTGAGATCGTCCTCATCTGCTCGGACCTCGACACAGTAAGCATTGTGGATTTCATCCCAAGTGGTTGGAGGATACTTCATCAATCGGCTCAACACTTTTCTAGTTGCTCTTAAACCCTCTCTACTCAGCCCGTTCTGAAAAGATGCGACTTCCATCCCTTCGGATACGTTTGGCAGAGTCATCCTTATTCTATTGAATCGGGCGAGAAAATCCCTTATTCCCTCTCCCAAGGATTGCTTAATAGAAAATATGTCATTTACTCTCGCCTCGGTCTTCTTGGCTCCGGCATGGGTGGTTACGAGCTTATCGGCCATTTCTTCAAAAGTTTCTATGGAGCGGGCTGGTAGTTGCGAATACCATGTTAATGCCCCTCCCATGAGGGTTTCACCAAACTTCTTCAGCAAAATGGAGGACACTTGTTCCTTGACGAGGTCATTGACTTTCACGGCGGTGACGTAGTGAGTCATATGATCTTCAGGATTGGTCATTCCTTCGTATATACTGAGGTAGGGTGGCATTTTTAAGGTCTTTGGTATGGCATGCAGGGCTGCATCATCACTGTACGGATGCTCTACGAACCTTCCGGTATCCCTTTTCGGCAGCAGCTTAGGAGAGCTCGGTATCTTGTCAACTCATTCTTGGTGTTCTTTCATCTGGTCTCGGAGTGCCTTATTTTCATTCTCCATTTCTTCCATCCTCTTTAGAATAGCAGCGAGGGCATTGTCACTTGCACTATCAGTAATATTGTGAGTTATACCTGTCGTTGGAGGGAGAGGTCGGTTGCACTGCTTGTCTATTTGTTGTATCATGCAAGCCCTTGCGATTTCTGTAGGCCATGCCTCGAGGAGTTTTTCACAGCTAGGGGCGTCCCTTCCTCTGTAGACGCGGAGGCCCCTTTTCTGCTGGGTTTTGTTATGCTGCAGTGTGGAGGTGGCGACCTCTCTCGCCTAGGGGACGTGTTGGGCGTCGTGTCCTCACCTACTATTTCACAGCTTTCATTGATGACATTCATGAGGTTGGTTGGGAAGTCACTTGTTATTTTTGTCCTTTCTCCTTGGGGTAGGGTTTTGTATATACAAAGAAATTTGTATATACAAAGAAAGGAGATCTAGGGTTTTTTTGACGTTAGTGACTTGAGTTAATTGTAGTTCTAGAGGAAACTAAAAATTTAACTAAGAAATCCCCACAGACGGTGCCAAATTGTTTGACCAAAAATATAAATCTTGGATCAAATAATTAAATTTATATAAAAGAGGGTTAATCTTAGCTAACAATATTACCCCTAAGATGGAGTTCTTAAAAAGCAACGAACACTATGTAGATATAATCGGATAGTAGCGGTAACATGCAATAAATATCCCAAGAAATCAAAGGCGACAATGTAGCATTCAATATCAATGAATAGCAGTAAATGACATTTAAGTAAATAGAACGAATGAGTCACCCAAGAAAGAATGGAATAAGTGGATGTTCTTTTTGACAATGATGAATGATAGACAATCCCTTGAATATTTGAGTTATTCTCGCATCTAGGGGAAAAGTATATACAAGAATCTCAGTGAAAAGGTGATGTTTATATCTTAGCAATGAGATCTGATTCTCTTTTTCAAGTCAAAGTGTGTTTTTTTACAAATGAATAGCACATGCCCCCTATCATTATGTCTTCTTCTATTTATAGGGAACATGTTCCTAAAAGGAAAACCCTAATAGTACAAAGAGAATATCTACTAGAATATACTCTCTAATGTCATATCTTGAAAACTAGTCGTTATAATTCTGTCAAGAGTACTCGGCCTCGGCCCTGGTCCTTGTTGATTCCTCGACCATGGCCTTTGCTGATAATTAGATTACTTCAACACGCGGTGTCCCAAGAATGCTTTACTAACAACATTTTTGACTTAAGATGGATTTTGACCCATACAAAATCGACGTCAAAATCGAAAGCAATCACCATACAACCCAAACTTATCCAAAACTCGTCGGAATTTAACCAAACTTTGTGGACATGTCCAAAATCATCATACACACTTGTTGGAATAATTAAGACCCGATTCCGAGTCCGTTTACCCAAAAGTCAAACTTTGGTCAACTCTTCCAACTTAAAGCTTCTAAAACAAGAATCATTCTTCCAAATCAATCTCGAACAGCTCGAAAACCCCAACCAACCATACACGCAAGTCATAATACATAATATGAAGCTACTCAAAGTCTCAAACCACCGAAAGGAATGCTAAAGCTCAAAACGACTTGTCGGGTCGTTACATTCTCCCCCACTTAAACATATGTTCGTCCTCGAACGTGCCAAAAGTCGTTCCAAAGCCATCAAATTTCCATATAACATCACCATACACATAACCATGGGTGATCCAACGTCACCCCACTCCATATAAGCCCTAAAACACCACCTAACAAAGGATCCTTACTTCAACCTTAGTCCATAAACCTTAAAACCCAAATCCCCAACATCCGGAACTCATTATATGACCCGATTCTTGCATCTATGCACCGTATAACTCTGAACAAGCTCTATCAATCCATAACCATATCTCAAGACATAATCACATGATATACCGCATAACTCAAATACTCATAGCAATAACTTCCGACCGCAATAGCTACTCGATAACCAACCCGACATCGGTAACAAACCTCATATCAACTAAAATCTTGTTCTGAACCTTCGTACACTGCCAAATGATGAAAGAAACATACAGAAACTCATAACCACCCATCATATTAACAAGTTGTGGAGCTCTCTTGTCCGATAAGAATCATAGCCAAAATCTAAGCCGACTAGTGACACAATTCTTGCAAACATGCCTTAGTCAAATCTGATGGCACTCATTTCAGGCTCGATAACCTCACCTCATCCAGTACAAGTTACTCGACTGACTTGTCACACAAATCCTACTTAGATCTACATACCATGCAATCCGTGTACCAACAAACAATAACTCAAATATACCCAATGATAGAAAGAGAATGGAAATGAAGAAATCATCCCGCCAGCTCAACAGATACCACCACGAAGCGCAATGCTATCAATCCACCACAAGAAGCAAGTGACCATGACTATGGAGATATGGATATCACTATATACCAGAAATAGGAAGACCATAACCAAGGCACAATCAACCATTCAACACCCCAAGAGCAATCTCGCCCGAATTTTGCTACAAAAGCCCAAATATAACTGCATCAGTGTGCAGATAACCAACAGATCACAACCCATCGCAGCATAGGAGAGTAACACATGAGACATATCGGAATATGAATGTGATCCACCCTAACCGATAACATACCCCTCCACAATAACTGTGTTGAGTAGATAAATCTGACCCGATTTAGAACAGACATCCTTATTGGACCTACTAGTAGCCTCCAAATCAATTTTGATCCTTCCGAAGTAGGTAGATAGCCTCCGAAAAGCCCACAATAACATATCTATAGTACATACCATCAGTTATACCTTCACCGTTCACAACCATGGAACAATCCACCTCGAGAACCCTCTTAGTCTTCAAATCCCTAGAATACTAGAATCTCCATATCCGATCACAACTACACTACTCAAATAACTGACACATTCCTCACATACGGTCAGCCCACGAGAATTACTTTTATAATTCTTTGGTGCCATAGAGCAAAATCTGGACATCAGCAGTTGATCAACTAGGCGATTACCGTAATACCAGTCAGGCATCCGCAAGTCAAAACACAATGGGCCTTCTAGAGTGCGCACCCTTCTTAGGTGGTATCAAATAATGCTAGCATTCCTCTAAACATCTTAAATCGTCCATGCTGTCTAGAACTCGTGATACCATCTAGGCAAAAATCATAACACATAACACATTCCTTATGCCGGTAGCAGACATCTAGCTCAAGCTGCAACACTATCAAGAACTCTTCGAGGCTAGTCCGCAAATCACCAAACAATCAAAACTGAACGTCCCCAACTCAACCAAGTCACGTAAGCCGTCAAACCTAAGACTATTGCCATAGAACGCTGGTGAAGCATTACCATACCAAAAGACCAGTTACCTTTGTTGCTATGCTAACCCAACACCACCGAGCTGACCTATTTCTTCTAATCCTCCTCGACTTGTCTTCAGGTCAGCACTTTCCCTTATCTGTACACAATGATCCTAAGTCAAAGCTTGCTGTGGAAGACCCTAGAACGAATCAGATCGTCCAAAAACACATAAACCATTGTATTTCCTCTGGAGCACCCAACAATGCTACAACCAAGATACCCACTCTGAAGAGACCTTCTTTGAATCTGAAGATGTTTCTCTAACCTCTCTGATACTGAAATGTTGTCACGACCCAAAACTTAGCCTGTCGTGATGGCGCCTAACGTGGTACTAGGCAAGCCGATATTTCAAAATTACTTCCAACACTTTTAAGTAAACAATATAATAACATATGTTTGAATAATTAAAGTCCTCATAAACTGGATAGGAAGTCAAAACTAAATACGAAGGTTCCCAAAACTAGGGTGTCACTGAATACATAAGCATCTATACATTGTCTGTGAAAAACTGAAAATAAATACATGAAGCCGCAAGAGAGGGGGAGAGTCAAGGTCTGCGAACGCCGGGCAGCTACCTTGAAATCCCCAAATGATCGGGCTGCGCGGATAATCAATACCCACTGTGACCAGAAGCACCTGGATCTGCACACGAAGTGCAGGGTGTAGCGTGAGTACGACCAACTCAGTAAGTAACAAGACTAAATATTGGACTGAAAGTAGTGACGAGCTTGACAGATACAATTCAATCTCAGAAAATAAAATTACAAAAAAATAGACATGCTTTCAAATTCGAGAGTTAAGGCTAAAACAGATAATTCATGCCAAGTTCAATTGAAACATGATATAGTATCTCTGAGAAATTTCATGATAGTGATAAATGCTAGCTGAAGTACAATAGTAATGAAATCAAGTACATATTCTTAGAATGTCAGTCACTCAGTCCTCTCATTCACTCCAACCTCACAGTCACTTATTCCTCACAATCTCTCATTTCTCTCAGACACTCGACACTCGCGCTCGACACTCGCACTCACACTCAATAGGTACTTGCGCTCACTGGGGGTGTACAGACTCCGGAGGGGCTCCTTGAGCCCAAGTACTATAACAAGAAAATCATGGCATAAATCAATAAAATATACTGCGGCATGCAGCCCGCTCCCATAAATATCCTCACAATCATGCCCTCGGCCTCACTCAGTCATCAATCTCTCTAGTCTCTCGGGCTCTCAATAATCATGATAATCGGCCCAAACATCGATAATATAATGTGTCAATAAAAAA